ATACGAAGATATGGACAGCTTCAGAAAACAAGAGGAGAGACTAAATCAATATACAAATACAAACTTAAAATAACTTAAAAATAAATTTTCAGGCAGACCCAAATCTTGATTTGCAAGACCATTTTAGCCTTTTTTAAGACTCTTCATTCTGTTTAAGGCAGCTGCCCATAATCCTTTAGTAAAAAGTGGCCACAACATTTACAGAGCTGAGTACTCTTGAAATCTTGCTTCATAAAGCCTCAGAACAGAAGAATACAAAAGCTTAGCTTAGTCACAACCTGATCCTCTTGCTGTCCCCTGCTGACACACATTCAGAGCAGCCCTGTGTAACACAGCAGACTGTGCAAGCAGCTGGATTTCTAAAAGGCATTTCTTTCAGATCTAGAGAAATATTTTGTGCAATTTGATTTAGAAATCAGCCAGCCACGTGAGCTGAGGATTGAATCACCTTGTCTGATCTATGTATCCAACATGATAATAAACTAGCTTATACTTACAGAAGATTTTCACAATTGATCTGAAGTGATAAAGTTTTACATGTTTTAAAAACAATTATTTTGCCTAAAATTTCCTCATTTTCCTCTTTTTGCAATTTTTAAAAGTGAGACTGTCTCAATGCTCTTTACCTCGCATATTCCCATTGCCATTTAATTAAGAGTTCTTTTTGGTGCATCCCATTTCTACAGTACTTGGGATTTTTAACAGATTAAAAAAACTAGCAGTACTTAGACATTTACTGGGAGCAGCTCATGACTCCATGAGACACTAGTTTGAAACCACGTAAATCACTGCAGAAGAAATCACCTTGTGGGGTCAGTGCAAGGAATCCAGTTCACCGCCGGATCAGGGATGTCCTCCAGGTAGGGGTAGATGGTTTCTCTTGTGAAACGCCAGCCATAAATGCCATCTTCAGGAGTCACAATGATGTGGGCGCCCTGACACAACAGGCTCCATTAAGAATTCACCCATCAACAGATAACCAGGTCAGCAGGAGCAGAAAACACTAATTAACAACGCTCACGATACACCTGGTACCTGCTGGGCGGCTTCCTTGATGGCTCCTTCCAAGACATCCATGTTTTTGTTCATCAGGGCCAAAGCATCGTCAGGAGAAACAGGCTCATCAGTGGCATCTGGCAGGATGACCGCGTGCTCGTAGACGGCTGCAGTGAAGGTGTCGGAGGCAAGGGCCTGAAGGACTGCGAGTGCAAACGCCGCAGCGTGCAGGAGAGGCTGGGACGGGAGCATGGCTGGTGCCTCACAGCTCCTGGATCGGGCATGGGGAATATAAGCCAGATGGAAAGAGGAGGAGTAAAGGCTAATAAGTTTGCTTTGGAAATAATCTTCTATTGAGTAATCTGGGAAGGTACAGTGTAGTTCTGCCAACAGTCAGGATATTTATTTATACTAAGAAGTCAAAGAGACATTTCTAGGAAGTGGATCTTGTTTCCAATTTGAAATGCTGTAAATAAAACATGAACAAAAGGCTAAGAGAGCACGTCAGAAGCCATGCTGATCTACAAGAGTCTCCATGGAAAGAGCACTTACACACTCCATTCGTACATCCCTCTCCAGGCTTCCAAACCCATCTCAGGACAAGCCCAGACTCTCATAGTTAGGACACGCTACTCTGTATAACCTTACTGCACATGGCTGCCACCGGTTAAAAATCCAGCCAGGGCTGAAGGCAGACCGCCTGCCTGAAGTACAGCCCTCACGCTTCAGAGTGTAGCTGATTCATCTACACTTATGAGACAGGTGGTCCTGCCATGCCTCTTGCCTTTGGCCAATGGCTTATTATAGTTGTACCGGGTGCCCTGACAGTGTCCTCCCTCCCGAGTTCATATTGCAATATAAACTAACCCTTGAACTGTGCTGATCTCTCTGCCTAGAGCTAACATACTCACTTGATTTGTGAGAAAGAACTAAATGACACAGATTTTTTTTTTACTATTTTTGTTATGAAAGGCATTTTTTGCACAATAAGCAATTTGAAATTACTCATACAAAGCATTTTTTTTCTCATGGAAAGCAATTTTTGCATAGTATTTTGGAAACACGGTATTACTACTATAGTTCCAGGTGCTTCATAAAAAAAACCTGTGTCAGAACCTGCAGTATGTCTGTGAGGGTAAAGGAACATAACCTGGCTAATCATTTACCGCTCAGCAAGAAACCAAGGGAAATATTCTTCATCCTGACAATATCTTCCTCTTCACCATGTAGTTTCACCCAGAAGTCTTTTTTTTTGTCCATCAGCACCAAGGCCTCCTCAGGACAAACCGGCACTTCAGTGTCCTCCGACAAGACCACGTTGTGCTCGTAGACAGCTGCGACGTAGCTGTCCAGGGCACAGGCCTCCAGAGCAGACAGCACCAAAAGCACGGCAGAGGCACGAGCTTTAGGAAGCCCCATGTCTGGAGCCTGGAAGTCGCCCAAGAGGAGGATGGGGCAAGCAAAGCCAGGGGGCTTTAGAAGGGAAAGTCTTGCACAAAACCTGGGAATTCCCCAGAGTAGCAGAAACCCGACACCAGGAGATGCAATCACCCTGCCTGGAAAGTCTCACATCAAAGGCAAGAGAGTCGTCAGCATTGAGCAATTCTGCCTTACACCACCGACAGGGAAGTCACCACTGAGCTGCAGCTGAAGAAACAACGTCGCTTGCCAGATTAACAGTTCAGGCGTGACATTGCTGTAGTAATGCAGCTCAAGGCAAGGCCGGGTCACAGCAGGAAAACAAGCCAGAGTTCGGGAAATCTCAGCAAAGACCAGCACAGACACATTCCTGGCCAAACCAGAGGGCACGGGGTGCAGGCAGGGCTGCAGGAGGCAGGCAGCCGGTCCCGAGCTCGGTGCTGCTGCACGGGCATTACCTGTGCCACCACAGCTCAGCACAGCACTGGCTCAGAGTTGTGGGGCCTTTGGGGGCTGCTCCACATTGCAGGGGGGCTGCCAGGCAGGCTGTTTGTCTGAGCAAACCCATCAGCACATCGCTCAGTAATTGAGCTCTGAAGACCTCTGGTCCCCAAAGGTCTCTGTTGGAAGAGTATCGTGAATGAGAGCCACAATTTCTAAATTTTGCCTATTGCAAACTGCTTCCTTACATCTGCAGATCACTCCAGCAGAAATGTTGAAGCTGAAGCTGCATATACACACAAAAATCACTTGTATCTGGTTGCCCAAGTTTCTTACCTTCTTTGGTTCTGTCTCAGCTGTCAGGTAACGAAATGCTTTTTTGCTGCACTTCCCTGGAAGAAGTGTTTATTGCTTTCAGTGGTTACATGCAGCCTTGTCTTTATACAGACTGCGTCGGTATGTGGATGCATGGGTAGACTTGCATAGGATTACTTTCTGTATGCTTGACTCCCTTCACACAATAACACATTTCACAACAATAAATGTTATGCAATCTTTGTAACAAAAATAATTTAGTGCCATGGTGACTTATGCCAGTCTTCTATAGGAAAATACTCAACATACAAATATACCTAAACCACAATGGCCTTGAACCAAATCCTGAATTCAAGATACTCACCAGATTCGGGGTTGGGATCATATACTACTTGCACGCACATTCCCTTAGCCATAGGACTGGTATCGGCAGTGAACAGACCTGAAGGAGCTGCCTCTCAGCTCCTGGACCAGCCACGCACTCCTGCTGAGTCCCTTCTGCACTGCAAGATGAGACCTTCTTGCATGCCATAGCCTCCCTTAAATCCAGATCCTTTCCCTGGGAGAGAGTTGCGGTATCACCCTCCAGGTTCCCAGGGCACAAGCACAGTATCTGCACTGAGTTTGTACCCAAGAGAAAAGGATCACATGGGATAATCCCTTGCCAGACTGGGACCAGTCTGTGGTCAAACAGTAACTGACTCCAACAGTGAACAAGGTTTTGAGAGAGCGTGGCTCTAGCAGCACTGATGTTGAGCTTCCATGAGTCAAAGTACATTGTCTGGGGCTTTTAATAAACGACATTATGTTAGACATGACACTATGTTATGTCATGTCACATGTGAATATCTATTTACATTTGAAAACAGAAAAGGTCATATGGTGCACAGCAGTGATAACCAGTGCTGGAGTTTGGATAGTATTTGCACTCCCAGCTTCTCACCAGCTCCATAACAGAAATACATGGGACTGAGGACCTTGAGAGCACCATGATGAGACCAGGAGTGGTGCCAGTGTGGGGAAAAGGAAGGAAAAATCAGATTAATAGGGGTCTCTGACCACTCTTAAAGACACATCCGCAGAACATGCACATCTTTATACACTGGTACACTGAAGGAAGGTCACTAGGGTCCAGCAGCAGCAACAAAACACAGGTCACTGGGGGAGGAGAGGAAGCAAAGATATGAACAGTGCCTTGTCACCAGCAGTAGCTGGTCTTAAGTAGAAATCTAACCCCTCTAATCCATACAGTAAATGAATTTGTAGGGCAGCACCACCCAGCATTATCATGAAGGAGCAAAGGACAAAGCTTATTTCACGTATGTTGGTGTTACATGGCCAGAAAGAAATAAAGAAGATGGGAGGGAGGAGCTGCTATATGATACCATGTCACTCGGTGACCTCTTTACTGGGTGCAAACAGTTCCAGTGCTGAATAGCACCTAGTGCAGTCGTCAGGTGCTGACAAGCTGTTGTTCAGAACTGGCAAGTAGAACATTTTGAGGTTTCAATTCCAAGTTTTTGTTCAACAGAGATTTCAAAGAAATGATGATGCATGTTGAGTTCTGACCAAGAGGTGGTGGCAGGTTTTGTTTCAGGGTTGGCTCTTTGATTGGAGTTCTTGCTCAGCCTCCATGATGCACTATTCTGTGCTGCCATGTGCCACACAACGTGCGCCAATGGCATAAAGGCAACAAAACCAAGGCAACATGAATAGGAAAAAAAATATGTGTAAGTGAGGTAAAAGAGCAGACTTGCATAGGTCAGCATAAGTAGTTGTATATCAGAGACAAAGAATTATTGAGCTTTTTTGTATAGAGCTGCCACGAATCACATCTTTCACTGTTTTATTTACCAGTCTCATAATAATCTGCAATTACAAAATATGCAATGCTATTTTAGTAAGAATGTATCCTCTGGCCCACAATACAGATTTTCTGAGGGCTAGAAAAATAAAAATCCAGAAAACAGAGAGAGAAACACAACTGCTGTTTTGCACTAATAAAAGATTAGTAATCTTACAATATAGAAATAGATACTTCTCAATGAATTGTAGCAATAAAAAAATATTGCTGCATTATTACTAAACAAAGCACATTGATAAGAAGTTTGTGCAACTGGAAATAAGATACATAATTGGGATTGTTGTAGTAGAGGATGCTGTATCCCATTTGGACATGAGATTAATAGTGTACAGCTTCAGTTATGGTAACATCATGGGAAGGCTGGTGGTTGCGGGACTTGTTTCAGATGATCCTTTTCATACCACCGTCCAAAAAGTGTCACAGTGACGACTGGTTTTGTTGGTCTTGTCTTACTTATCAAACGCCCATCATTCAATACCTGATTAAAAAAGGTAAGAGAAGGACATAATTAGAGGAGTACCCATATGAATATGCTAAGAGCTCAGAAAGGTGTGACAAAACGGGAAGAAGATACATCAGACCATCTCTCTTACTGAAACTAGTGACTTCATTAAAATGTATTTAATAGATCTGATTATTCACTATGAGCAAGGTCACTTTGGCTGTTTTGAGACAGTTTATTCCATTACTACCCCGCAAGGAACCTAGCATGACACAGCTCCAGGGTGTCCCATTACCTCGAACTCCCCGGGGGCCAGCTGCACCCCGCTGTACAAGACTTCTGGAAAGACGTAGTTAGTGCCAAACGTGCCGCTGAGGGAGAACATCTCAAACTTGGTCTGTGCAGTCTCCACTGGCTGCCCGCATGTGTTCAGGTCTGTGGTCTTGCACTTGAGCAGCGTGCATATCTACGGGGAGGAGAAGACAACAACTTATTTAGCAAGACAGAAACACTCTGGTAGGAAAGCCTTGTGTCATCAAAGCTAGTGTGTGTCAGAGCAGGTGACCATCACAGGATCTCCTTCATAATCTTTAAGCAATTCCTTTTTAATTGCAGCTTATTTTTTCAACCCTTGATCTGGTTGGGAGTATTCCAGAGCTGCACTGCCTTAGTAGTTAGAAGTAACCTTAGTTTCTGACATAAGTGCTGCCAGAACACCTTATTTCATCTCTGAACGTCAATCCTGTCACTTCCACTAATTCTTCCAATTTCCAGTTCTCTCATTTGAAGAGTCCCTTCTCACATGTCTTAGTAAGATGAGTTTGTGAATGGAAATTTTAGGCAAATGAAATTAAATCCTCCTCATGTGTACATTGTGCAACTGTACAGACAGGTCCTCTTACTGGTACTTGTACATGTTGCTAATGACAATTCGTTAGATGGTCTGGTAGTCCATGGGAAATCTGAATTTGATGTTCTCCATCCATCTCCTGGTGAATATATATCAAGGTGATGAAGTCAGCATCCTCTGTTACAGTTTTGTGTTAGCAGTTGTAGTACATAGAGGAAAGTAGGAATGGAAATGTTTTGTCCTTAAAGTTAATTCTCCAAGTTACAGCTGATAAACGTTTATGGACACCATGAAGAAATATGAAATAGGGCTAGCACTCCTGTGAAGGTTCAAAGGATGTTGGCTGGTTTTGCTGACAGGTGATGGCAGAGTTTTTCTGTGTCAGATATTGGGGGATAGAAGAAGCACATTTGCAAACATCAGAAGTATTATTCACCAAAAAATTTGCAAATAAGCAGAAAGAAAGAATCTAATTCTCTCAGTATGTTCTGAGGAAATGAAAAAAATACTGAGGGGAAAAAGGAAGAGTGGAAATTCCCATCTTCTCTAGAAAATTCAGTACTAGTAGAGACCATGTGGCAGCTTCCACAATCACTGAAATAAATTTTCCAAGCGAGCTCACCAAGAACCGAATTTATTCAAGCTACCTTCTTAAATGTATTAGATGAGCTGTTTGCTGGCTAAAACCTCCCCCCGTATCCTGGAGTCTGTACCAGATGATATGCAAAGGCCATGTTGACAGACAGAAGTAAACAATAATCCTCTGGCACAATAAATTATGAAGGCAAAGAAGGTTTTCTAATATGGCTAATTCAACCAGGATGTAACTCACTGTCTTCCCAAACATTTGATTAAAAGAGAGGAAGAGTGGACATTTCCAGTGAAAGTCATATGCCATTTCAGTAAACTTCATTGCTATGAGTTGAGTAATGACAAAAAATTAACATCTCTGTGACTCTAAATTATCAGAGCATCTCATAAAGATAGATATAAGCAACTGATTTTTTAACAGCAATTGTTTGATGAAGATTACAGAGGAGATTCAGAACACTTACTGCAGATAGTCACAAAAAAGGAGCTAAATTTAGCCAGTATTGCACAGCTAAAAAAATAGTGAGCACACTCTGGGAACTTAACAGAGGTTTAGAAACCTCTCCACTACATTTGTTGGATTTAAAGGTAAGCAGGCTTGGAGATTTTAGCAACTACTTCCCATTGCTAACAAACAGGACACCAGGACTCCAGCATACAAGAAAGTCATTGTCTTTTCCCCCCTCCAGAGCTGAAGGTTTCTCCCTGTAAAGAAGCTTCCTAAAAAAAGTACTCCCCCTCGAAAGAATCATTACCTGCAGATAGTACTGTCCTTCAACAACATGAAGCCCATCAAAAGCACCTAGCACATAAACTTCATCTTCTTGTTTCCCTGCCACCTTGTAGCTCAAGTGACAGCAGAGGTCCTTCTGGCAAACGGTGAGATTCCACTCAGGCTTAGTGACCGCAGTGAAAGTGAACCAGTCATAGAAGATGCGTCCTCTGAAATCATGGTCATTCGGTGAGAATCTTTCAACACTCGAAGCATATAAGCTCCAGTTGACAGCAGGCGGGGAGGCAGGAGAAAGGCGAGGGTGTGAATCTAGTTCAGCAATGAGGAGGCGACCATCCTCAGTTTTCATATTGTAGTAGTATGTTCTGGCTCCATCTGGTGCATAAATACCACTCCCTGAGGAGAGCGCAATAGTCAGTCCAAAAATAATAAAAAAATTCATATTATCCTTTTAATTGTCCCTACTGCTAGCTTATCCACTCTTTTCTAAATATTACAGAAATTTTAGTCTCACCAAAGGTGACCATTAGCAACTCAGTACACAGAGATCATGCTTTGGCAAAGAATAGCATTTATTACTCTTGGTGAGGTCTGCTCAGTGTAGACAAAAGCAGAAGATGTTATGTTATGGTTGTATTTATGGCCTCCCCAGTTCTCTCTTCTCCTGTACACAACAGAGTTGCTTGAGAATTCCTTTATTCTCAGTTAATTGATGTAAAAGGACCATCTACTGATTGAGACCATCCAAAACACAACACAGGCAAGTATCACAGGACCGTCCTGGTGAACACAGGAGATAGCAGCTGTCCAGTCCCATTTACACTGGCTGAGGACTCCTCCCCACGTGGAGAATTCACACCTGACCAGTGCCAAGCGACAGAGGGAAATCAAAGAAGATCAGTCATACCCATCACTGCCGAAGAGCCACATAAAATGGACAACAAGTAGCCTGTCAGGCATTTCAAATGAGAAGCCCCAAGCCAATTCTGTGGTTTCACAGCTCAGTGAAGATGCTGGTCTAGCTGAAATATACTATCCCATAAGCTAAGCTCTAGAAGATCAGTGCTACACTCTTAAAAGAAAATGTGACTTCTTAGCAGCATTACTGCAACAGGTCTGAAAATTTGTTTTTAACACTTTTCCACAACTGTGTTAAATACAGCTACAAATAAATCTTTCATTTGGCCAGAATAAATGGAGCCATGCGTTGGGTCTACAAGTATATTTATTGTTTGGCATTCAATTGCAAACTTCAGGTGGAGAGGAATAGAACCTAAGTTTCAGAAGTTTTTACTCAGATAGAAGGGGCAGTAGCTTACTACTTCTTTAGAGGCATTAAAAGAAAGAAAGGAAAATCCTAAAAAGCCAGGGAGAAGAAAAGAAAACACCACAAGTTTTGCTGTGCTTTGTATGGCACCAGTAGGGACAGGGGTTGTCAGGTTTAAAATTTGGTGACTAGACTCTTCACCTTCCAAATAAATATATTATATTCCTCTGCAAAATCACCTTGCAGAACAGGGAATAAAGATTCATGGTTATAAAGATTTTTCAGAGTGAGAATTAATTACCTGTCATCGCCAAGCTGATGTTGTGAGTATTTGCTGAAAGCAAATTGACACCCATGCCCATAGCCCAGGCAGAGTGAAACTCAACCGCAGTCAGAAACGGCAGGACGTTCATCCAAGCCGTCGGGAAGAGCACGGTGTCCACCTGCAACTCGCTCACCAGGACCACGGCAGGCTCCCGGAAAAGGATGTCGAAGCACGTGAAAATGCCAAACTTCCCAAAGGGGGTCTCAAAGGTGACGGCTTCTGGCTCTTTTGGGTAATTAAACTGAGTTTCTGACATAAAGAGATTATACTGTAGGGGAAGGAAAAAAAAAGAAACCAGTTAAAGGCATTTACTGCAATATCCTGGAGTCATTCCCTAAAACTGTTCAGAATGAATAGAGAAGTTTTTTGACTTGTGTTTGAAGCCGTCACATGTAGGAAGTCAGGCTAAAATTGTATGATCACCGTAGTGCCCAAAAGGTGGATATGGGGAGACACATATTGCCCTGGCATCTAGCTAGGAAAGCAACCAGCTATCTGCAGGTCTGTTGGTGTCAGCCACCTGCAACTCCCATAAAAATAATCTCGCCGCTCTCCCCACCTAGTTTATAACTCCAGTGACCTGAAAGACACACAGAAGAGAAATAATAATGGAAGAGGACCATGGAGGATCTGGTGCCAAGAGATAGGATTGGTGACCTTGGTGTGGAGATGCACGGAAGGACTGAAAGCACACAGCACCAGAAGGAAGCGCGAGACAGTACAGGGAGATTGCAGAGCAGAGAAGAAAACAAAGGCAGTGGTGATGGGGGACAGGCAGATGACCTCAGCCAACAGAAAAATCCAAGTTTGTGATATTCTCAGCTTTCCAACATTTTCCTTCTTCCTTTGCATTCACATTTACTAAAAGAGTCCTTTAATCTCCAGGTGGTCTGGACAATAAACACGTGCCACCGAGCCAGAAAAGAGGTTCAAGTTTACTGAACTTGTAACTCAGTGCCTGGGCTGTGCCAGGCTGGCACATGGGGGACCAGACTTGCACTATCAGTGTCCCCCTCACCCAGTTTGCTCACAAAGAAATATCTTGGCATCGCCTCTGAAGAACCAAGTGAAATACTAGGCCCAAAGTGCATTAAATAAACAACTGACTTCAGTCTGGACACATTGGCATGATATCTGGCACATGACCCTCAAACAACTTTGATGAACCTTGCAGGTAGGCACACAAAACTGAAAGAAGATACTTTCATTGGGTGCAAATGTTTCAATGCCCTCATCTCTTTTTACATGCAGCTTAGGTCCATGGTTTTGTCCAGATAATTCCCATTATGCAAAAACTGTGCTGAAACATCATCAGAAAAAAAAAATGATAGGAAAGGGCCTGTCTTCCTTAAATCAGACTACTCATCTGAGATGAGATGCAGATGAACATTTTAAAATCCTGGAACATGAAGGGGTAGTCTGGTGAAAACCTGGCACTGAAAACTAAAGCTGCTTAAGCAACAGGATCTCCAGTAATAGGGAGTTAATGAACTGAGGAAGTCAACCAAAGCTATATGCTACTAAATTGGACCTGCGCAATCATTTTTCATTCTAGTCTGTTTTGAGAAACATGATAGTAAATGCAAATTTGGAGTCAACACTTCACAGCAAGAGAGAGATTCTTTTAAATTATAAACAGAAGCAAAAATCTGCCATGGGACAATGACTGCCATTTAATTATCTTGCCAAATTGAGACATTTTGGAAGTAGTGGAAAAATAGCTCCTGACTTTCCAAGGCCACTTTACCTTGTGGTAACGAGCCACCAGTTTCCCCTCCGGGTCAAAGACGACATCAGTGTTGTACTGATAGCGACCGTCGCTGGGGCAGCCGGCATCACTGGAGTTACACGGCTTCTTGTCCCCGATGTTTGCAACCACATAGATGGAGTTATTCCTGGCCATGCAGCTGAGTCGTTCCTGCACTGGTGCTGGAGCAAATCTAATGCATTTTAGGAAAAAAGACTAACAAAATCTGTGCTGTCAGTGGTGTCCATCACTGGAGTGCTGAGGGTGTGCTGGCAGCACCTCCGATCCTGCAGCCATGACAGGGCATGCAGATACACAGGGTTGTATCTCCTCCTCCCTCAGGTTGCTTCCCGCACCTTGGGGCAGGTCCTGGAGCCCTCCCATTGGCATCCGGAGGGACATGCCACCCTTGGGCTGCCTGCCAGCACCCCTCCGCACCCAGAACGCACTCTGCAGCAAGTGGATAATCCTAGGGCTGGGAAAAGGCAGAAGAGGAGTCACTGAGCAGAGGAAGAGACTAACTTGGTGTCACACAGGAGAATATCTTAGCATCTGGCATAGCAGCACCTGAGGACTGTAGCTCTGGGCCCTCGACACACCAACCAGAGTCGAGCTGTGGAATAGTGCAGCTGATGTGGTCAAGGCAATTCATCTCCTCCCAAGGATGGGAGTACACAGTCCTCTAGCCATGGCATGAACAGCAGTGGGATATTCCTTTTAAGATGTGACAGCTGCCATAAACTGGCAGCACCTCTGAAGCACCCGTACCAGGTCACAAAGAGAGCAGACATCCCCCTCTGTAAAGTGGCGATGCATATGGCAAGGTGTGCATGGGCCATAGAGGAGGACCATCATGCAAGATACATATATAGCACCAAGGAATGGGGCATGCCAGACTGTGATGGCAGGCATTATATTCCCACAAGGCACTAATGAAAACCTGATTTAGGACAGTGAAGAGACACACAGATCACCTTCACAAAAACTAACCGTGTGAAGAACTGGAATAAAGACCTGCTTAGACACGCTGCCACCCCACACCCCACATTCACTGAAAGACTCTGTATATTTTAGCTACTTAGTCTCAGTAAAAAGTTGCACATCTGGAACTTCTCCCCATTGTGAATCTTCCTCTCAGGACCATTGAGGAATTACATCCTCACAGACGTAATATTATGGTCTTAGCACCTCATCATCGAGCAGGTGCAGAAAGCAGCGGTGAAAAAGGCAGACCACAGCTGTAGTTCCATGGCTGAGCACTTACTTCATGCTGTATGGACCTGAAGTCCAGCACTCAGCTGTAGGTTATCATGTCCCTGCTGGAACATGACATTTGAATGACAGATCATGTTCTACAGCACAGAGTCTCTAGCAATTTGAACTTTATATTAACTGTGAAAAACTAAGATTAAAACTTTCTGGCTTTGTATCACTCAGAGATTTGGACTTTGACTACTGAACTCATCAGCTCTGTTACTAGCTGCTCAGAAACTACTTTTTGGCTGTCCTCAAAAATGGTATGTGTGCTTTTATGCATGCTATATTTTATACATATGAACATAGCATTTGTAAAAAACCAAACAAACCAACAAAGCAAATAAAAACTAGTGCTAAGAATTTCCAATCAGTTCTATTCAAAATAGTGTGCAAATACTGAAAGCAGAATGAGAAGCAGCATATTCTGGCATCAAAGCTTTTCCAAATGCAAAAAAAAAAGAAGTTTCCTCTACATTTAGCAACCCAAATTCTGTATATTGTTTGAATTTCTCTCTAAAGTTTTTAATTCAAAAACCTTTTTTTTGAACAGGGTTCCCTAGTCAATTAGTCATGGACATGCTATATATTTTATCATGTAACTTACCTTCATATGCAACTTTAATTGGAACTTAACCTCATGTTAAAAGCATTAGCAGTTCTTAGGCATTTACTGGGTCATGACTCCATGAGACACTAGTTTGAAACCACGTAAATCACTGCAGAAGAAATCACCTTGTGGGGTCGGTGCAAGGAATCCAGTTCACCGCCGGATCAGGGATGTCCTCCAGGTAGGGGTAGATGGTTTCTCTTGTGAAACGCCAGCCATAAATGCCATCTTCAGGAGTCACAATGATGTGGGCGCCCTGACACAACAGGCTCCATTAAGAATTCACCCATCAACAGATAACCAGGAGGGTCAGCAGGAGCAGAAAACACTAATTAACAACGCTCACGATACACCTGGTACCTGCTGGGCGGCTTCCTTGATGGCTCCTTCCAAGACATCCATGTTTTTGTTCATCAGGGCCAAAGCATCGTCAGGAGAAACAGGCTCATCAGTGGCATCTGGCAGGATGACCGCGTGCTCGTAGACGGCTGCAGTGAAGGTGTCGGAGGCAAGGGCCTGAAGGACTGCGAGTGCAAACGCCGCAGCGTGCAGGAGAGGCTGGGACGGGAGCATGGCTGGTGCCTCACAGCTCCTAGAATGCTCTGAGTCACAGACAAACGCTGCAAAAGGTGCATACATAGAAAATGAAAGAGGGTCAAAGTTTAACTTTAAAGGAGGGAATAAACACTGGTCTGTTAAAGCATTACCTTGGAATCAAGCATCACTGGTGACATACAGGAAAGTATAACAGTACACAGTAAGGATGTCGCAACTCAACAAGACTAAAAAACTGGGCAATGCCAAGCATAATTGTGCCAATGGAAAAATAAGTTATTAAACACATGGCTAGAAAGAATGGTCCAATTTTTGTTGTTATACTTTTTTCTGTCATTGATTGCGATAGCCTTTTGGTCTCTGTGTTGGCTCAACTCTGATACCCACAGGAAAGGTGGATGTGTCATTCCTGGAGCTAGTCTTCTGTGAAGTTTGAATGGCAAAGTTGGGGGTTTTAAAAACTGTTTGCTTTATTCTAGTGCCTTCATATTCCCCAGTTCCTGTGATGTGTGCCATTATGTGCAGATTGCTTCCCAGAGTTTCTTTAGACCAAAGTCATTACTAGCACCTCTCTGTTCTTAGATGTGATACACTTAATGTGCCAGCGACAGAACTGTCCCTTGCATTTATCCCAGCGGCTCTCCCAGTCGCTTCTGTTTAGCTGTACATGACTTTCCAACAGCCTTCCACCAGAACACTTGCATCTGGAGGGAATGTTTTCTTCTGGAATCAGGCAGGTAAACCACCAGCCAGGCCATTAATCGAGTACCTCATTGCCTGGCTGCCACTTGCCTGAAGCAGAAAGGCAGGCTAGTTCACCAGGCGCAGTGGCATGTCTGCTCCTCAGCCCATCTTTCCTGTCCCCAGGAAAATGCTGTGTATTGAGAGGCCTTCATTTTTAATCTTTTACTTCAATTCAGTTCAAATGCATTTTTTGCTATAACATTTTCCATTTTTTTACTTTCTAGTAGTTGCAGTATTCTCATTTGGAAAAGCTTTTCGGAATAGTGGGAAGCAAAACAGGCTGCCTGCCTTCAGCTACAGCAGACAGTCATTGTAGAGCTGTCTCAGAAAAGACATGAATGCAAGCACCAGAGAGTTCCCTGCAAGAGTAGCACTGACCAAAGGTTTCAACCATTAGAAACATTGATTTGCATCTGGTAATTTTCACCTCTAAGTAATTCTCTACATACATTGCTAGATACAGCATGCTCATTCAGGAGCCTTAAATATGAGCCTTTAAAAGGCTGCAATAGAGATTTCAGTGATAATTGAAGTAATGTAGCTTGGAAGCCTTTTTTTCCCTCCTGTTTTTCTTATCAAATGAAATATGGATTGAGTCACATGAACCACAATCAGACGTAAGTCTGAAAGAGGAAGCAGTAAATGGTCCATTGTTTAGCAACAGCTAGGACAACAGTCAGCCCAGAAAGGTGACTCCCCTGGCAGAGCTGAGCAAAAAAAGTGACAAGCGCAGGGGCCGGGCACTGCCCTGCAAAGTTCAAGTCACACTGCCAGGACAGGGGGGTTTCTGTAGTACGGTGGGATGGAGGCATCCCTGTCTGCCTCTGTACCAGCAGGCACCACCGCCTACTGCCTGCAGAGCTGGGCGCTCACCCAGGAGCAAGGAACTAACTCCGGTTAAACAAACAAACCCACTGAATAAAACGTAACGAAACTACAGCGGTCCAGGCTATACATGGCTGTGGACAATGTAAGAGGAATTTTATCCTAGAGCTCCCTCTGCTTTTCACACCTCCGTCCTCCCAGTCCACTCTGCTCACCCCTCTACCGCCCTCTCCCCCGTCTCTGCTACTGCCCGAGGTCTGACTTACTTTTGTGAAACAGGAGGCGATTTGATGCTGAATCAGCTTAGCTGTAGAGGTAGTCCGTCTTCAGATTGTGGTCCTGCTTCTTTTCTTGTGCTAAGAGAGACTGCGTGGAAGACTGCTCCTTATTCGACGGGTTAATCTTGCTGTGGAGACGCCTCTGTGAAGGGTCACGCCTGCAACCATGCAATCACTGCAAAGCAGTAAGGACATGCGGGCAGGGGTGAGGAAATTGCAAGCTGCTCATTTTTAGCAACAGCACATAGTTATGTTGCTTAGCTGTAACAGGACACCATGTCCAAGGGCGCAGATACAAATGTAGAGATACAGTACTTTTTCTCCACAAACAAGTAGAGTGTTTTCCATTACTTCTATTATATGAATTGTAGAGGGTTACAATTTAATACATCTAGAGACTAAAATCTTGTTTCTACAACATTCGCTTTGTTCAAAAACAATGTATTTTACATCCTGCAAGTCTAATTTTCAGTACATTTATCAGATTAAATGTGAACAGTGTTTTTATTTCAAAACAAACCTGCAGAACAAACAACAGAATTAACAGTACATAGAAATCTTAGCCACACCACTGAAAATAATCCAGTCCACTTGCTTAGAAGGTACAGTCTGCAGAGCCTGCACCCGCACACATGCCAGTGTGTTCAATCTGCTCAAGCTGTTCACCAGCCTTTCCCAACACGTTCCTGCACAGTCCTGACTCTCCCTCGCACCAGCATGAGCAACCATTTCACAGGAAGACAGATATGCACCTGCAAAATTGCTCATTTTGAGAATTTTTGATATGGACCCACCTGACTGCCTGAAAAAGGTGATAAAGTTATCAATAGTTTTGTGGAAAGGAAATTTTCCACACCCTAAAGCTGTGGCCAGAAAGATTCAAGTAGACTCCTCCAACTGTAAGTTAGGGCATGGCATGGTAACATATTACACTGTGTACTCAGCTGAATAACTGAGTTATTTTTGAAGCAATGGTGTTTGGAGGCTTGTTTTCTTTTTCAAAGTAAATGGTAACTTAAAAGTTCAACCATCGGCCTTCAAAGGTTCTGTTAATCTCTGGTTTAGAAAAGTGTGTGTTCAGAGATGGGGTGGAACAGAGATGTTTGTGGAAATGACTTCTAATACCCTGCCAAAAATTTCAAAGAATTAAAAATCGGTTGTTATTGGGCCACAACCCACTGCTGTGCACCTGAATCCTACACCACTAAAGTCAGAGGAATTTATTTTCTGTTGTCCCCAGTGAGATCAAGGTCAAGCCTATGACAATCAAAAGCTATCATACGAAAACACATACAGAACTGCCCAGTAGAGTAATTCATTTTTGCTGCAAAATCCAATCAACAAATCAATGTGCAATGACTATGCTGTTAGATAAGGCAGCATGAGAAATAGAATGCCATTGTCATTATGGGTATTAATATTAATTAACATTAATTAACATTATGATTAATTATTATTAATTAGCATTACAGAAACAAGCAGATGAGGTCTTAAAGGATCTGCAGTGAAATCATGGTGAAGCTTGCTGTGTGTGTGGAGGGTCCTTTTCATACCACCTCCCAAAGAGTGTTACACTCAAAACTGGCTTTGATGTACTAGTCCAATTTATCAGACATCCATCATGTAGCACCTGGTTATGGGAAAGTAAAATAAACAGGAACATCAGCAAAGCAGTACTATTGTATGACAAACACAATGTAATATATTAATTAATGTTGACCTAGTTGAGTGATGTCTTGAAAAAAGACAAAGCAAAGCATGTCTGAGTCTCTTATTCACTTGGAGATACCACAAATTCTGAGAAAAACTACACTTCTTCTGTCTTGAGCAAGATCTTGTTCTAGGAGATTTGGGGAAGAAGGGAATCGAGGAAATGGACCTGCTGTATGAATGCAACCGGGAAAATCAGGCAGAAATAAAGCTGCCTTGAACTCAAGCCGGTTACTGAAAGAGAGGACACTGATAACTCCCAAGTTGCTCCTGTGCCTTGCAGTGGCTTTTTGGCCATTTGTGTTACAAGTCTGACTACTCACAAGGGTGTCCCATTAACTTGAACTCCCCGGGGGCCAGCTGCACCCCGCTGTACAAGACTTCTGGAAAGACGTAGTTAGTGCCAAACGTGCCGCTGAGGGAGAACATCTCAAACTTGGTCTGTGCAGTCTCCACCAGCTGCCCGCGCGTGTTCAGGTCTGTGCTCTTGCACTTGAGCAGCGTGCATATCTGCGGGGAGGAGGGTACAGAAAGGCAAAATACCACTAAGCTTTCAACAGTCAAGAGCTGGATTTGATTGTAAGAAAAGCTGTCATGATGAAGAAATTATCCAATACATCTACTCATTTATTTAGGCCAAGAGGATCCATGGGTGCTCTTGGCACCTGAAACTTTGCAGAAAGACAGTTCTTTGCCAGCACCACAGCAAAGCACTGTGTCTGTGTGTACACGTGTGTTTATAAGTTACGTGTGCATCCATGCATTATGCATATGCATTTAGTCATAGATGTGGAATAGTTTATTATCTAGGTAAGTTACTTCAGCTCTGGCTGAGTTTCCTAAAAAACTGAAGCCATACTTATTTGCCTACTCTAGTGGGAATACTCTAAAAATATTGAGAAAAGATATTAAGATATAGCACATTAAAAACGTCTAACAATGAAATTTAAAAGAACGAATACACTGACAAGCCATGTGAATACAAAGGTTATATCCGTATTTAGTTTCTTCATTTTGTGAGACAACTGCATGTTAGAGAATCACATCAGCACAATAGCACAATCCACTGAGCAGAAAACAGCTCTCTGTTGTGACAAGAGCATCCCTATGAAGACAGGGAGAACTGTACGATCTTCTCTCCCTTTCGTACACATATATGGAAACCTCCTTGAAGTGTTATAGCACAGGGTCAACTCAGGGCCTTCACTTTCATAATTTATAACATAGACAGAAAAGCAGGATCAGCACCCCTAATGAAGTCAAAATACATCATGAAGAAAAATGTTTTCAGAGGGGCCTAAAAAATGCCTCCTCTTAAACCCGCTCAATCAAAAATGAGACAAATGCAAATGGGCTGCAAAGAGAGTGTTGCAGCCTTCCCACTGCCCAAATAAGAACAGAAAACATTTACCTGCAAATAATACTCTCCTTCAATAACATGTAGCCCATCAGAGGCACCCAGAACATAAACGTCATCTTTCTGCTTCTCTGCCATCTTGTAACTCAGATGGCAACAGAGGTCCTGCTGGCAAATGGCATGATTTCCCTCAGGTTCAGTGAGCTCCGTGAAGGAGAAGAGATCGTGGTAAACGACCCCAGTGAAATAGTGATCGTTTGATGGAAGCTGTTCAATACTGCTGGCATACAATTTCCAGTTAACAGCAGCAGGATAGTCAGGAGACAGATGTGAGCATGAACTCAGTTCTGTCACCAAAAGCTGACCATTTTCCATTTCTGTATTATAATAATACGCTCTTGGGCTGTCTGGGGCATAAATACCACTCCCTGCAAACACATAACACCAGAAAGCTTAGCTTTTAATCTGAGAGCAAATGTATGGTACAAGTAAGCAGTCTTCACTAATTAAAGATGAGCCAAATTTTATTCTAATGTTTACCAGATTGTTTTGAAACTAAATTGAGCCTTCACAGACTACAATCCTAACCTAATGCTTTTTGCAATCAGTGGAAAGTAGACCAAACTCTGATGTTTCATGTATTGTAAGTGACAAGATTGGTGTGCCATTTTGTATGATTTAAGTGGCTGAAGCTATACATTCCTCATTGAGTTTAGCTGCATCAGAAATCAGTATTTCTGCTTAAAATGAATGGTAACGCTGTCAAGTCAAAAATATTCTGCAAGGAAAAGATGTTACCAAAAGTCACATCTTTATGCAAGCTCTTTACATAAATACATGAATCTTTAAAGCCCAGAGTAAAACCTATCCATAAAGAATGAGAGTTGTATGACATAGGGTCATCAATGACTGAGAACTAAAGCAACAGCCCATATCTGCTTTTATTTGGAAGGCAAAGGTTAGGGCTACATTTTAGCAACACCAGTTGCTAAAACCTTCCTCTCACTTCTGCAAGCATGTGCCCACAAAACTTGTGCTTGACTTCTAGCGTCTGTTCAGGAAAAACATACGGTGAAAACAGAGCCCGCAAAGAAACGTTGGCGCAAGGTGTCCAGCCCAGAAGTAATGTTTGCAGGACTCACAAGAACGTTTCTCAGAGTTAGTTTTCTACCTAGGGGAGAAAAAAAAGTTTAAGCCTTCACATGACCAAAACATCAATAAACACCAGGGTCAGAAGATGAAGAATCACGTGCATAAACTCTCAGGACTGATCATTTAACAAATATCTAAAGGTGTTCTAGTCACCTTAAGTATTTCTGAGTTCTTACGTACCACATTTGGATTTCCTTTTTATCTGTACAAGTTCTCTTGTCCTAATCCTGTTGACATGTGTATGCATGCCTAAAGCTGATGGGAATTTCTGCTCAGGTCAACTGCACTACATAGATATAAATGTTGCTCACGGAAACAAGATCAATTAGAGCGATATCACATTACCTGTCATACCTAAAGTGGAGTTGCACGTATTTGCTGAAAGTAAGTTGACGCCCATACCCATAGCCCATGCTGAGTGAAACTGGACCGCCGACAGCAGTGGGAGAGTGTTACCCCAAGCGGTTGGGAACAGAATGCTGTCAGCCTGAAATCTGCTTGCCAAGACCACAGCTGGGGTCATGGTAGAGTGTGTCTGCACAAGTGAAAATGCCAAAGTAGCCAAAGGACGTATTGAAAGTAACAAATTCTGGATCCTTGGGGTAATTAAACTGTTTCTCTGTCACAAAAAGGTTGTACTGTTCATGGAAAGGAAGGAATGGAGAAAAAAAAGATTAGAAAAGAAATCAAACCATTTAAATCAGACTAATATTGAATATAATACTCATTCACATAAATACAAGTAACAGAGAATATGTTTTGTGAACATGCTATACCTTAATTTCAAAAAGGACAATTCATACCACTGCAAGAGAAGTCAAGCACAAGTATCTGTGGTTCTGATTTATACCAGTGAAGGGGATTTGTATTTAGTTAGCAAGAGTTTACGACATTAATGTTTTAGTATCTTATGTGACACTTCCTATGGAGAAGCAGTAAAAATAGAGGTCTTATTGAGGTTTAATTAATTTCTTTTAATCACTTGCAAT